GAACCTTAAGAGACTAGAGCACTGAAGCATAAACAAGACACAAGCTTTACTGAAGCATAAACAAGACACAAGCTTTAAGATATCAGCAAAACCTGTTCGAGCTCTCTTGTCTTGACGACATCAATCTCCGTTGGTCCTCCCAAAGAGATAGGTTCTGTAATTCCAAACCTTTGCCCATTTTGCTGGACACTAGCCATCGATCCTACTATATTATTTCCTCTGTTTTTTTTTCTCTCTCTTTTTTTTTCTCAATATTTCAATCAGATTCTACGAGTATAGAAAATTTTCACTTTTTTTTTTCTCAATGATTCTTTGCCCTGGATATTTCGAATAATATAAAGCTAAAAAAACGAAAACTCGAAGAAAATTACTAGAAATTGTTGATGATGATACAGGATACAAAAATCAAAAGCTCTGCTAAATTAAAAGAAAGCAAATTAGACAACACAGAGCATACCGAATCATACAAAAAAAAGTAGCCAACCAGTCAGGAGTCTCTTCTCGGGAACAACCCTTAAAAACCCTAATCCGAGTGACTGGTAATACAAACGAATTGTAATCGAGAGAGAATTGCAGAAAGTCTCGGTCTTTGAACCACCCAATTGATCGATACGAACTGGGTCTGGCTGGTATACGCGTAGTTGATCTCTCAGGCAATACACGACGAAACCCACTAATCAAAATTGATTTTTTTTTCCGGCCGAGAGAAGAACTTATCCCAAAACGGACGAAGGAATCTCCGATCGTAAAGAGGAGATATAGATAATCTCAAAGAGTTTTCTAGGTTTGAGTCGCAACGAATTTCCCCCTTCTCGCGTCTGGGATTGCGACAAAAAGCTCAAGGGCCACACATATATAAATTTAAGGATTTTCACGAGAAACAAACCGCGTTACTACACCCGACCCGGATTTTAGATCCGATTCTTGATATCAAAAACCCGACCCGGTTTTAAACGATTCGCTTGTTATATGGTCAACGTTATTTATTTGTTTTGTCAACGTTAAGAAATAGTTATTCGTTTCTAAAAAATATCAATTTTGATTTTTTTTTTCCGAATAACGTACGTAACGATAATTAATCGTCATGTTGTTTTCACTGGAGTTATTAAGGCAGTTAGATACTAGGATCAGATTAAGGCAGAAGAATCAAGCTATTTTGTAAACAAAATCTCCGAGAAGTAGATTTATTAAGTTTGTTGTTTAATTTCATTGGTTCAAAAAAATGACATGGTTTGTCAAAAAAGATGACATGGCTTAAGATAACTTAAAATATAATTT